ATATATGCATGCATACATGCAGACATACACGAGTAAATGCACACACCTAGGCACACATATGTACATGCATACATACACACATATCTGAAAATACAATATTTTCAAATTGAACTAGTTTCTGACGGTCTTAAAATGTCGTCATATATGGCGAAAGTGTTGTCTTATACCAGCCCATGTCAATAAATAATTATACATATTGTAAATATTTTAGTTAAATAAATACATCATATACGAAGCCTACAGACAGGCAGGTAAACAGGATTTAAAATTTGAAAAAATAGAATATATATATATTTGATTATGCGAATTCCTCAGATTACGATACTTCTCTAGTCTGAAGTCTCTACTCTCTACCATCTGCTAAATATACTCTAGAGTAGCGAGGTGGATTGGTGACCACAATTGGCTTTTTTTACTATAGTATACTATTTTAGGCTGGCAGCTGGCTGGCAGAGGAGGCCAAGGGACCAGGCCGAGGAGGCCGAGGGACAGTGAAGACTGAAGACAAGACTAAACTCGGAAGAGTGGCGGAGACTACGTTGACTTGTTGAGAGTTGAGAGTGTGTCAGAGCGGATTACTGGAAGATCCTGAGGGACGTCGTAACTTCCTGTTTATTACAATATGCCTTTTTCTCACTTCAATCGTCCCAACGAAGGCACCGTACCGGCTTGCTTAGGAATATTGACTTGTTGAGAGTTGAGAGTGTGTCAGAGTGGATACTGGAGACTTTCCGGATTACGGGAAGACGCTTTTTATCACTTCAATAGTCGAAACGAAGGCACCGTACAGGTTGCTTCCACTGATATTAATAACCTCCTTGCAACATGTATGTATACATAGCTATAACATTTCGTGACGTTTCTAACCATTACATGTTGTGTCTCATTTTACAATACAGCAATGAAAGCGCACCTAGCCAATCGGACTGGAACCAAGCCTGCGATCACTGCAGAAATCACAGATTTTGTATCTGCGTTTTTAAGTCAAACATGGCAAGAGGTTATAATAGTAAACGGTGGTTGCATTTATTATACATATATATAGTGCCTAGATTTAAGTTCTAATTTTTCTTGTCACCTTCCACTATGACGCTTTCTACGGGAATAAACCCACCCCTGACCATCAACTAGACCAAACTCTGACGATTCATCCCACATGCGGATATTCGGATTTCCAACACTCTGGGCAAAGACATCCGCATGCATGGGTAGCTGGCCCGGTAGTGCTTCCTGGCGTGAAATAAAGGAGACTTCTCCTTGAAGATGCTCCACAAATGCATTCCCTTGCCTATCGTATATCAGTATGGCATTACCTGCCCACAATAAGATGTTCCGTCCTTTATCATCAAAGTGTATCGTGGCTGTACTACCAACATGCCTGCTTCTCTCTGTGGCCGAAACAAATGCACTGTACAGGTTGCTTCCGGGAAAATAACCTTCCAGCATCCACTGTCTAAATCCAGAAATCGTCTGGCCCAAGTCTTTGGCACTTTGCCACGCGCTGTATGCACCTTCTGCCCATGTTCGGGCATTTTCGACATATGAATCAAAAGCGCCGCCAACATATGCACCGTGGGTCACCTGGAATTCACTCACCTCTAAATCTGTAGCGCGACGGCGGCCACGCCATCTGCGTCGTTCGATCGAGTATGAACTACCATGATACCTTCTCTCACTCAGCCATTCTGCTAATGGACCAAGTCCCCATGTATCTGTTTGTGTCTCCAACCACTCGAAGAATAACGCGGGCGTGTCGACTCTGCCAGCCAACCAACTCACGTACATATTTTTTTTGAAATTCAGACCATCTTCTAGCCAATCCACCATCGATCCCCGATGATAACGCTTACGTTTCAAAGAAAATACTTGATCCCAATGGATAGTATCCCCTAATAGAACATCAAATGCACTAAGTTCTTCCAGTACACCGCCCTTCTGAATTTTCAGCGATTTCACAGAGATCGGAGCGAACAATAGCAGATTGGGTGTGCCGTCGTTAGGTCCCATGTTGATCTCGCCAGGAGTGCTAGCCGCGATTAGAACGGATTTGACTTGCCTAGCGGTTAAAAGTCGCTGTTTACTCCAAAGTGACGCCATGACACCGGCCACGATAGGAGCGGAAAAACTTGTACCACTCACCTCGATAAACCCACTCGCGTCAGTATGTGAAGCGGTGACAATTTTCTCTCCAGGTGCCAAAATATCAACGCAACTTCCTCTTTTCGACCATGCTGACTGCAAATCGCTGGCATCGACGGATCCGACGGTAATCACAGTAGGATTCCTTTGTGGTGTGCTAGCGCAAGCATCCATGTTACCGCTGTCGTCTACGTTGCCAGCTGCAGCCACCACAACCACGTCCAGATTGTACAATTCAATAAGGAGGGCATCTATGGCATCAGATGGAGGTCCAGATAAGGATAACACCACAACTCTCTTCCTGTCATCTCTCTTCTTCTTCCGCTTTCGGTTCTCCGTCACTACCTCCTCATAGATTGAGAATAACCCTTTAAAAATAGTATACGATGTGCCCCAGCCAGCCTTGTCAAACACCTTTACATTTCGAATTTCAGAATTAATTGCTACCCCAAGCTCAGATCCAGCTGCGGCAGCGGCCACCAAAGTTCCATGTCCTACGCCATCCCCCGCATCTTGGCTGGGCATCAGTACTTGGTCCTTGATATATTCGGTGTCAAAGTGATTATACATGGGATACAAACGATTCCCAAATGACGAGTGGGGGTTGATACCAGTATCGACAACATAGACAATAACATCACTACCTCCTTCCATGAGATGCCGTACTGGGACCGGGTCATCCTCTACACTAAGAGTGCGCCTGCTAATCCGGCTCATCTGCCAGTGCATAAAATTATCCGGTGGTAGATCCTCCCAATCCGGGTACTCGTAATATGTCCATGGCCACACATCGTCTGTGTAGCAGATTTTTTTGTTATTTTTCCTCTGTCTCCGCCTTTCAACGGTATGTGCTGGTATAGAATGCTGGGGATAGTATTGCGTTATGAATTCTAGAGCCTCCACTTCCCCATCAGTTCCAAAGAACTCAGCAAAGTCAGTTTCAAGACCTTCGAACCATTCGCTGTGGAGCGCGATATATGAATCAAAGCTCGTGCCGAACTCTTCAATTTCCATATCTTCCAACTTCTCAATTTGGTGTTGTAAACCGTGATCTTTTATTCTTTGCTCGAGGTCGTTCTGAGGGTTTTGCAACTTCGAATCCATTCTATCCTTGAAGCCCTGAATACGATCACCCGCTTTGGCATCTCTGATTTGGCTTCGAACGAATTTTACAAAAACTCCTTTGTTTTCATTTCTGCCTTTAATCTTTGCCTGAGCGGCAGTAAGCGCGTCCACAGAACAAGAAGCTCCGACTATGGTAGTTAATAGTAAAACATTAAATTTCATTATTGCATATATATGGTTGTATCTCTTTACTATGAGAAACCATGTTTGACTTCTGTGTGTCGGTAAAAGTGCTTTTATATATAACCCATAAATAAGCATTTGTGTACAAAAAATATACTTTTTCGTTTTTTTTGTGTTAAAAAAGACCAAATACATACCACAACGTCCACAAGGCAGAACGAGAATTATGCAGAATTGCAGACGGCAGAGTTCGGAGTTCGGACTGCCGAGTTCAGTACTGTGCAGAAATACTATTTACAAGTGTTCGCCGTTTCTCAACAACACTTCAGATTTCTCATCAACTTCTTTCTCCGCAAATATGTAAGTATTGTAAATATTGAATAAATTGTACATACAAATACTTAAAAAAATACTCTTGAACTTTTGAAGACGGAGTTGAAGTTCTGAACTTCAGCGGTTCAGCCATACAAATTATTTCTGAGAGCAAGTTAGCGACTTGTGGCGGTGCCAAATATTTATTTACATACACTGACGCGGTGATAAAATCAAAATAGACAATGTCTGAATATCTGATATTTGACTCATATTTCATATTTAGACGCCACTCGCTAGAGAAAGGAGCGCCCACTGCCAACAAGTACCAACTGTAAACATTAGCTGCCAAGTGACAACTGCCTGCTGCCAACTTTTTGTCATCTGCGACAGAACAGTTTTCATTTAGTCCGTGGGCAAATTAATTCTTTAAAAAAGCGCAATTGTCAATTTGAGAGGAATTATATTACGTGCCTATGCCCTATTGGAGTATTGGAGTTGAACAGAAAAATCTCACACTTTTTGTTTTTAAAAAACAAAATGGTGATCTGCTTGAATATTGTTCTGAACTTCCACGGCCTGCAACCAGTCAACCACAGCAATTTATCGAGATTTTTCAACAAGAGTGTGAATTCTAGTCTCGAGTGAGAACTGAGAACTGCTGTCAGAACTAAGAAATCACTCAAATCAGAAATGAGAAGTTGAGAACAGTCAAAAGTTCAGAACACAGTGTTTGGTTTGGGGGGGGGGGGGTTTTTTAAACCAAAACAAAAAACAAAATGTATGTGTTTTCACTTTTCACTTTTCACTGTTTTCAGTTTTCAGATATCCTTGTTCTATATTTTTCAAAACTAAAAAAAATCATATCTATTTACATAAATAAATAGCCTCCTCAGCCGGACCTCAGGCCTCAGGCTAAATAAATATGTTTTTCAACGTTTTGTTTATATATATATATATATATATATATATTAAGAGGATTGTTTACATAAATACTGCATTTATATTTATAAATATTTTGTGCATATTTATAAATATTTACATTTACAATTTTACATACATATACGTAGTTGTCATTTTAATAAAAAAATTATATAAAGAATAGAGACTGAACTTTTGGACTTCTCGCTGAGTCGGAGGTCTGAGGTCTGAGGTCTGAAGCCTGAAGGCTCTGGCCTCTGAGCGCTTTATCCGACCTCCTAAAATGTTGATTTAATCGATCGTATTCGTTGTGTTTTTTCAAGATCAAACAAAAAAACCAACCAAAACCAAAACCAAGTAGTCTTTACTTTTATAATAGTTTTTGATTTCTATATTAAAACACAAATTTAAAAAAGGATAAAAAAAGGCTCATCTTCTCCAAGTCTCCAACCGAGACTCTTGTTTTTAATCGGAGTATGTTTTAAAAACAAATACAAGATTATAGCGTAAATATCACATTCTTTTGTTTATCCCACTACTATTTATCAACTATTGGTTTTTTGAAAATTGAATACGTTTACCATTTTTGATATTGTTAACGTTTAAACGAAAGTAATATTTTTTATAATCCTACTTTTTTTACTGAATTTATAGCCTTCTACAAAATAGACATAGGCAATGATGAATAGCTATTTTATATTTAGGACTATAGTAATGGAGTATTAAAATAGACAGACACATTAATATGTCATCAGAGAGGCTCAGTATGGCAATATTGCACCCTCATGAAACAAACACATCATCGAAAGTTTACGTTGAACGCAAACTTTAGCGTTATTTACTACTAAAAGTTGGCGCTATGCGCCGATATTTCTAAAAAAAGTAAAAACATCGCACTGAGCTTCTGAGTCTGTGACTGTCTGAAGCCTGAACTCTGAAGGCAGGATAAAACAATACGAGTAAATACCGCGAGATTTCTCTTTCTGTTTCCGAAATCCGAATGTCTGTCGAACGACTTGAACATTGAAAGGTATGTAAATAGACATTTTTTTTATTTAAAAAAACAAAAAGAGATTGATTTTATATTTATTTTTATATATAGAAAATGAACCCTACCTTCATTTGCTGTTAATTTATTCTAAACAAAAACTAAAACAGATAAAGTTGAGCACTTGAGCACAACCTCATTCAGTTTCCCGTTTAAACTTTTTCAAAATGAATCAGTAAACGTTTCCGTTCAACTTTTATTCTGGATATAGCATTATGAAATTTGAAGTGGTGCAATTTCCAGGCCATCAATTTGTCTTAAACCCGGCGGGCCCGGCTGTCAGTCGAAATCACTGTTTTGTAGACTGTATTCATTGGTCGCTATTTTCTTTAGGTTTACATGTTGAGTACAAATTTAAGAAATTCGTTTTCTATTTTGACCCGTGAAATTTTTTAAAGTTTTCAACCCGAATCAGTATACTTTTCCGTTCAACTTTTATTCTGTATACAATTGAAGGATTGAGCTCAGCTTGTTCTATTCAAATCTAAATCGGAATCCAGAGTAGTGAAAACAGTAGCCCACGCGGAAAAATACCTAAAAAGATGTTGATCAATTTTGTGTGAGATCAGTATTACTTGTGTACCTAGACTATCTATGAGGAGAGTAACCTATGAACTGCAATAAAGGCACTAAATTGTACCCCTAGGCGTACGGGAGAGAGAAGACATACATACATACATACATACATACATACATACATACATACATACATATATATATATATATATATATATATATATATATATATATATATATATATATATATATATA